GGGTGCACCACGTGGAGGTAAGTCTATTGCACACCCCATAATAAGATATTAATTAGTCAAAGTGACTTAACAATTCAGGAACGCAGTTGATCGGTCAATTTGAATGGAGTATCTATGAGTTTGTGAGTAGGTTTAGGCAATTTGAATATGAATATATTGAGTGGGTGCATTATATTCATTATAGAACAAGGAGTACACGAAATGCCTCCTTAAATAGAAAATGGGAATTATCTTAATCTCAAGTGCTGTAATAATGAAGTTACGTAGGTCTTTGGCTACTAATTATTTAAATCGATAACGAATTATCTGGATAAGTGTTCAAAAATTGCGCGATTTTGTGGTTTTAAATAGCAATGATTTCAGGAAAAGTTTATTTTTTGCAACTTGAAATAGATATCGCAATTAAAATAAATGGTTTGAAAGCCTTAACTGAGGCGGGAATCCTTTTGCAATCAATTGGAATGGGGATGAGGCGTTTTTTTGCAAGTGAGCAGAGAAAGATGAGGGAAAGTGGAGGGTAAGTCGATTACATTCCTAAGTCGAGTGTGTGAGGAAATAATGTGCTAAAATGAACATGTATGCGCCCGCCATGAGTAAATAGAGCATCTCAACAGCTAGTTTCAATAGTCGTAGCATCTATCCGCCCTTTTCTGTTCTACGCTTTGCATGAGAAGCTGTTTATGTCAGGAAGAACTCTACGGATACTATCGAGTTGCCAACAAAAGCTATGCAGATATAATTTAACTACCATTTGTCCTCCTGTTGTTTACGTTCAGCTACTTTTATCTCAATATATTGTTTGCTTTGGCCTTAATAAGCTTTTATTCTACTTACAGCATTCTTATTTAGGCTGCATGATAGTATGGTCTTTGCTCACTGACATTTAAATCAGAGGCAGGTCAATCGTTGTACTGTGAAAGGAAAGACCAAGAGGGTCAGTGGTACCGCAGGAAGTTAAATTAATTTTGCATTCAAAAAACCCCGGGAAAGTCACCCGATCCTGTTTGATATTACTCGAGTTCTGGAAATGTCAGTGCTTTGAATTAAGCGCTCAAAATGCCATTCTCTAGAAGTGAAGAGCAAGAAAGAAAAAAATTGTGTCCAAATGAACACAATTGAGAAAAACAACCAAACGCCTCAATTCTTTTATGAAATTTACTGTTTTGGTCAAATTTATTGTTCATTTGAAAAGAGGTGTTTAGAAATTTTAGCATTAAATGCGTCATCCTTATGACAGTTATAGATTGAAATTCACTTGTTAATAAAAAGCAAATAAACCTAATATCTGGAATGACAAAGTATAAATAAATAAATGTGAATTATGTTTTTGGTTGACAAGGAAAAATAAGACAAAATTTGCTTAAATCACTTAATATTTTAAGAGGATGAAGAATCAGAAGGAGCAGCCAACTGGATAGCAGTTTCATAATCTTATCTACCTCCAACTGGTCAATATTCCAATTTCAATGGCTCAATCTCGAAACAATCCCGAATTTGCTACAATCTTATTTAAAATGGTTTATAATTTTTTCTTCTACTTTTTTTTCATTAAATATAAGGTAAAATATATATTAAACTTATTGACTTATAAAAATGATATTCTCACGTATTTATTAATAAGACACTCCGATTTTGTTGAAAGTCGAAGGAAGTAAGTACTTTGCACTTAATCTAATTAAATGATAGTTATTCTTATAATAAACCCCTCTTCAAAAGAAAGAAATAGAAATGTTGACACTAACGTCATCTAGTCAATTCTGCTATTTTAATGGCCGTAATAAGGTAGATAAATCAATTGTCAAGTCGTAAATATTATTTTAATATGAGTGCAACAGTTGATTAGATGTTGCATTGTGAGTGAAAAATATATGCAATCCTTATCTTTGTATTTATACCATTGATCCGTTTACGCATTGCAAGATTATATAATTAAATTTGACCATCGCTCAAATCTCCTACTTCGGAAGTGTGGATTCGAGTATCGTTGATCGGAACTGATCAGGTTAAGGAACGGAATTTAGGTTCAATAATACGTTTCATTTGATATGTCTGGTTTAGGAATTATTTCTTAATTCAATTCTCTTCATTAACTGTTTCTGTACTTTAATTGGATACTCACAGATATTGCTAGCTGGTTAGCTTCCTATCTATCAAAGCTGACTTGAAGACCCTTTCAACCCCATTAATGTTCATTCATTTATCCCGACCATCACAACTAGATTTCCATCCTGCGCATCCAATATTTACGTTGCCTATCGACTAGTTCTACAAATATCAAGTTCTAACAGTTTCCTTGGCTTCCAATTCCTCATTCTTTAACGGGAAAATTCAACAGTCATGTTCTTCATTCGTCTTCGACTATCCTCTGCTGGCATAGCCCCCCTCTCTCTCTTTGTATGAATGAATAACTCACCTGATCCATGTAAACTACTCGATAATGCAAGAGCTTCCGCCGAGTGTTTTGAAGGACCCAGAACGATTGGTATATTTGGCTGGGGCATAATTCGTCGTTTTACCGAACTACGTTGTCGTGGATGCCTCCTCGCAGAATACACTTCGACAGACTCGCGAATTTGCCGTCCCTCCCAATTTTTGCCATCATTACTCACTGAAGTGTTGGAAGAACTGTAGAGATTTCGAACAGTTTCTATAAAGGGAATTATGATTTGCAGATAGAATATCACGTGCCGAAGAAAGTGATTTAATTACAAAGCCAAGTACTTGAAGCATTATTGCTTCTACTTTTAAAGTAATATCTGAGGTCATTCAAATCTACCAATAACAAGATATTTATTACCATACTGACATTCTTGCGCGATTTCAATTTGTTAATTGCTGTTTCTAACCGGCTCAGATTGATTGCACAAAATTGTTCGTTAATATTCAATTAATATCTTTTATAAAAACGAAAAAATAAGATTGAAGGGAAAAATGTACTCATAGAGTCATGTGTACTTTTAAAATTGGCACAAATCATTGGGTTTCCACCCCGTTTCACTTGGCAATAGGGGGGAGGTGGGGGGAGGGGAGGAGAGCAATACGAAAAATCGCTTCAAAAATGTAGAATTTAGAGAGATGAGAAAAAATAGGGTATAGGACTTATATTTGAATAGGAACGATAACGTTGAAATGAAAATAGTTCATTCCGTCATAAAATTAGCTTCATAAATGATTCTAATCAACTCGACTCCAGAAACCGATGGGCATAAAAGAATAAGAAGATTTTCTAATTTTATTCTCAAGAATTCATTTGATAAGGTGAAATTCGTCCGTTTAATATAAAATATAAAAGCTGGAAAATCGATACGTTTCCAGTTTTAAATATAGGGCCTTATTATTTGTGATGTCTGTGAAATCTAAAGGGTATGTTATGTTTAAATGTGGGGTGCGCGATAGACTTACCTCCACGTGGTGCACCCTGGGCAACGTATACTCATACGGCAAAAAAGTCTATTAAGTAGCAACTGACTTCACACTTCAAATTACCATTACCCCACTCTATGTCATATTCCACTACTTCCACAGTACTCACCTCACCTTTTGTCTACCTTTGTGTCTGTTTCTTTTACATCTTTGAAACACTCTTCTCTTCCCTCCCCCCCCCTCTCAACTTTTTTCACTTTGATGTTCCTTCCCCTCTGCGAAGCTTGAAGTCAACTAAAGGGCTAATGATAACTATCATAACGCATGCCATTTGATACAATAATAATTATTATCATTATTTGTGATGTCTGTGAAATCTAAGGGGTATGTTATGTT